TTCAGATTTCCAGGGCCGAAATTCCTGTGGGTAGCGGGTGAAGGCGTGGTTTGAAATGATGTGCCGATCTTTGAAGAGGGTGGTCATGGTATAAGACAATCATTGAAGGACATGTCCGAAAAATTGTGGGTCTTGTGTTAGTCTTAAAATTGTGGGTTATATGTGGTTACATCCCCTAGGGGACGTAGCACTCCAATTTTTACATTTTGTCTGACGCGGGCACAGTATATGTTCCAAGTGTCAAGTATCTATCTCTAAGGATGTCGAAAAAAGTATCGAAAAGACGGACACAAAACCAATACACTACGATACCGACGGTATCATTTTGGTATTAAAGTATAAAAACAGGTAATCAAACAATAAAAAATCTTACATATTTAATATCAATATATGTTTTAAATGCATCAAGGAAATTTTCAAATATAAATTGTTGCCGACCAAAGTTTTCACAATTGCGTTTCTCGAAAACGAAACTGAACTTTTCCGCTTAGCAACATTTAATTTTTCATCAAAAATCCTGTTTTTATATCAATCTTTTATAAATAAAATCATTAATTAACTGTAAACCTAATTTTTCTTCATTGTCATTCTATCTTTATGTTTTCTTTAATGTTTGCTTAACAGCCATTCCAATTAAAGTTAAATTCCATTCAAATATTGTCAACTACATTTTTAGAAGCGCTTAGTTTATTTTATTTCCCTTTCGCTCTTCGCTTCAAATTGATTTTTTAATTGCATTCTCTCACTATCTGACTGTAGATTTTTCTATTTGTCTTCGACTTTTATCAGCAAATAAATTGTTGTGCTTGTTTCTCAACATTAGCAACCGCTGCGTTTCCCATGTATTTTGAAAGCAATTTAATGATATTTATTTTATTTGTGACGTGCAAGCGCTTAAATACACATACAACTACACACGAGCGTACTGAGCGCTAAAATCCCAGAACATTTAATTTAATGAAATAACAAACAAGTTCTGAAAACAATGTCAAAACAGCAGCAACCAGCAAGAAGAGAGAAAACTAGAGAAAGAGAACGAAAGAAAATGCAGAGAGATAGAGGAAAAGAGAGAGAAAGGGGGAAAGACGAGACAAACAGCAACACTAATGCTAACTTTAATGTTTTAAGGCAACCAAATGTGTGTGTGTGTGTGCGTGTGTGTGTGTGTGTGTGTGTGTGTGTGTGTGTGTGTGTGTGTATGTGCAATGCTCGGGACCAGACATAAGGATGCGCATAATGTACAAAGTTTGCGACGCAAACTAATTTCAAAGTAATTACGTAGCACAAAAGTGTTGATATTAGCGTGCTGAGCAGCATAGAGTGTGGCAGAAAAAGAGATAGATATGTCAGGGGTGATGGGGTGTCTCCCAGACGAGGCTGCACAAACAACATTGCAAAATGTCATCAGCAGGCACAGAAAAAAATTAATTTCGCGCACAAAACCAAAAAAAACTTACCCGCTGAACAACTCCAACTCCACAAAGTCAGCGCAACAGCATTGAGTAAAACAATAAAAATCAACCTAAAATGCAGTACAAAAAATCGCGTTGAAATCTTAAAAATAAGAAAAAGAACACGTTTCTGCTGTCACATTTTTTGACTTTAATTTGACTTGTGGCAGCGAGAGAGAACGCTTTGGGGGCCAGCAAATTAAAGGCGCTGAAAACTTTCCTCCCCACACTCTGCCCCATGGTGGCAAGTCGTCTAAGTAGCTGGCTTTGCGGATCGCACACAACACAATTTCTATTTATTTGTGTAATATTTTACAAGTTTATAAAGTAAACGAAAGCGGACGAAATATGAAGAAAGCTGCAAGCGTTCAGAGTCTCCAGGCGCAAAACAGGAAGGCAAGCACACTTACACACTCTCACACACACACACATACTCACACCCACAGAGAGGCGGAACAGGGAATGGGTAGAGTTTGGCGCAAACGGAAGCTGACACAACAGAAGGCGCACGTAGAGACGAGCAAATACAAAGGAAAAAGCAGCTGCAGCTACACAACTGAAAACAAAACAATACAAACAAAAAAGGAAAAACAAAACAGAAACGCAGACAAACGCTTAAGTTTTTCAACAACAAAATGCAGTGTCTGTGACTTAAGGCTCTGACTTTAAGACAAAAAAACCTTTCAACGCATTTAGCGCACAATTTAAAGGCAAAATCAGGGAAAAACATAAAAGCACTGGACTAGTCTAGACTTCGCGAAGAAATTGCCCTCTCGCCGATATGGTTGCCTCTCGATCTGAGATCATTTTTTCCCAACAGCTGGAGACTTTAGTTCAGCTTTGCTGATAATTAATTTTGTAGGATATAAATATGCCTAGTATTTTAAGTTGTTATTATGTGCAATATTATGTTGTGGCCTAGACGAATAAAGAGCCTACATGCATGTATACTGTCCAAAAAGAATTACAGGGTATTTCAAGTTATTTGCGTGCAAATATAAACAATAAATAATGCAGAACCGCATTAACGTATATTTTAAAAATTTCATTAAGTGCAGCGACTACCAAAAGGGCTGGGCAAAATAAGTTACGGCTTGTGCGATGGTAGTAAACATTTTTATAGCACACTTTCTGGGGCAACTGCAAAAAATGTAATTAAATATATAAATTTTCGAATAAACCTATTCGGCAGCCACTGGAGGCGCACACCAGCGAAAATGCGAGCAGAAAAACACCAATAAAAAATGACGTAATTTACCTCAATTAACACACCAGATGCGCCAGGGTGTGTATATGGGTAAGTGTGTGTGTATATTGGTCGTGAGTTTAATTGCAGCCAATGGTCAGCACCGTCATTTGGCAGCAGACAAAACCGTAAACGTTAACGTAACCGTAACCAAAAGCGCAACCATTGCACAGCTTCCGACTGTTCATTGGCTGCAAGTGGAGTGGGCAGTGTGGCAAGCCGGTAGCTGGGAAGCTGTACATGCCCCAGCTGAGTTTTATCGCTACTCTTAACGACACTCCAAGTGTTTCAGTGCCCAAGCCCCTATTCAAGCTGCCCATTAAAATTCAACGGCCCAGGCGACTTGAACGTTTGGCAACCAAATCATATCGAGCCATCCAGTAGCAGAAGCTGACTCCCCACATCCCTTTCCAGACCACATGCCACTGTCTCGTCATTTATGTACATGTAAATTTGAACACATTCCCCAACTATGAGCCAACGAACCCTGGCCATTAAAGTTCACTTTATGCGCCCCCTCTCTAAATAAACAAAAAATTAAAAAAATAAAAAAAAGAGAGAATGGATGAGACAGTCCAGTCAGTGGGCCTGCTCGTCCTACTCCACCTCCTGTCCCTAATAGCCGGTCTGCATAAAAATGCTAGTTTTACGTTCAGCAATAGATAGCAGCAGATGGCAACAAGAATGCAACTCGACTAACAGTTACCTCTGAATAAGCTTAATTTAGTTTACCTAATCCAGTTTACGCTCCATTTGATTATTAGCTTTTCAAGTTAACAACTAAAAGTCGTCTTTCGACCGGTTGCTTATATGACAGCCAAACAATATAGTGATTCGATCCCGTCGGCTCCCTTATCAGAGTAACTTTAATACTCAGGGAGTTTTCTTCGGATAAGCGATTAAAAAATGCGCAGACTCACAGGCGGAAAGATGCTGATCGAGAATATGAATACCTTATGGAAGCTTAGCCATTTTTTCAAAATTATTATACCCTCTTCAAACTGTTTAAATTACTTTGTAATAATCACACAGATAGTAAACAGCCAAAAACACTTCAGAGCTTTACAATCAACGGTGTACAGAGTACCCCATAAATAACTTTTTTTTTGGGTGGGTTGGTTTTTTCTTTTGCGCTGCCACAGATGAGTTTGCAACAGCTGCTGTCCATAGGCCATAAAACAACTGTTTATGAACGTGCCCCGAATTTTTAAGTATACGGTCTGATGACCGCACTGGTAATATCACAAAAGTTTGCTCCTTTACAAAATTGTTAAAAGGGCCATTTAAAATATGCACAAGATTTCATGGTAATACAATGTAAATTACAATGTATTCATTTTAATGAAAGAGTATTCATTTGTCTTTTTTGCTTATTTGAGCTTGTTATTTATTTGGTAGAATCCAATAAAAATCTAATCAATCTAAAAAATTAGGTTCAGTTCCAAACGAAATAAACCGCTTCAATTTAGTTTATTTCTGAAACTGTAAACTGAAATCCATTTCGACAGGCTCTCCTTCAACTAATCTGTAGATTCAGCTGCTTACACACGATGCTGCTGTGAGGAAAAACCTTTGTGCTAAAGCCAATCGTGCCATAAGATCCGCTTGCTTATGGGCTAAACAAGGACAAGCGCAGGAAAGGGAGAGAGAGAGAGAGATACAGCAGGCAAAACAGAATGAAAGGATGGGCTGTATGGCATCTAAAGCGTTAAAGCCTAATTTGTAGGGCCTGTTAGCCGCGCGGGTGCAAAGTTGAGGCAATTACAGTTAAAGGCAGCACCGCCCCAGCCCCTGCCCCATACTCAATTTTCTCCCTATCTCTATCTCTAATCGCATAGCTGGCTGCAATCGACTTTTGTGCTGGTGCCGCATCCTGTTGATGGCCTCGTTAGTTGCGACTTAGCGTCTGACGCTCAGGGACAGCACATAGAGCACAATATAATCAACACACACACACACACACACACGCACACACCTACACTCGCACACACACTTGGCAGCTTGGCAATAAAAATGAATGTCGTGACGTGCTGCAAAAAAAAAAAAAAAAAGAGAAAAAAGCCACAACAAAGCTCAAAACAAAAAGGAGGCCAGCAAAATGCTCTCAAGTTTTAGCTGTCATTTTAAGCATTTAATACGTTACAGCTTCTTCAAACCCAAAACTTTGGTTAAGCCCAGCCCAACAACAACAACAACAACAATATTGAATAAGGACCAAACTGAATAAATAAAATTTACAAAAAAGAAAGAGAAACCCATTTGGGCTGATAGCTATAAAACGTTCTTAAATTTAATTAGTGCCAAGGCAAAAGTTTTGCTCAGGTGAGTTACTCGGCTCGTTTGGCATGCATCCAGAGCTTAACTTTGTTGCATGGATTGTTGCTGTTGTTCTTGTTATTGCAACTAGTTGCACAGCTTGCAGTTTAATGGTTGTTTTCGTTTAATAGCCATTTTAAAGGCGTAAATCACAGGCGGTCATGAAATACGGGCAAGATATTGCATTTTACTTGATTACGGCAACAAAGCAAAAGGAAATGTGCCACAATGCTGTTACAGTTGCATTATAATTCCTAGAAGTAACATTACCAATTCCTCGAAGACAGTTAAAAAATGCTCAACTGCTGTTAAATTACAATAAACACGCCAACCAAGTCTGAATTCTCTTTTAATGTGTAAATTTATTGATATTTTATTAGCAGTCAGTTTCATACAATTAGCCTTGAGTATAAAAAATTAGCTTCTGCCTTAAACACCACTTCGAGTCCTAAGTTCTTCAGTAAATCTCATTATAAAATTTATGTCTACATTATATAATTACTTTATTACGCTTGGGTTACGTTTGAATTGCAAATATTCGCAAGGAGCAGAATATTGCTAAAATACATTGGAAATTTGCTTCGAGCAATTTAATATTGTCGCGAAACCTTGCCACATGGGAACTTATTTCAATTGCGCATATTTGCAATAATTACAAAATCAATGAAAAAATTACATAACAATTACAAACAAACAGTGACAATTATAACGTTGGGACGATGTGGACTATAAAAGGCTGCTGCCCGAGCTGAACAGACAAATAGTCAGCATGAGGCCGTCGGTGCGAATTAACGATCTCGTCGCGAATATCAACTACTTCGCCAGGCTGCTGGGATTGGAGATATTGGTGCCACGTCTTAAACTCGTCCCTCGCACCTGGTTCTTAATGATGGTGCCTGTGAGCTATACGATTTTTTGTGTCCATTGGACGGTTAAGCAGACTCAGCATCACTGGATGGATGGCTTGAAATCGGTCGTCATGCTCGGTGGCCTCATCAATGGCTGTTGCCAGTTAATTACTATCCTACAGCGACATTCGGACATTAAGCAATTGTTGAACAACATAATTGCGATATATGCAGAGTATGAGCACCGCGGTGCGGACTATTGGAATGCACTCCACTTGGACATTGCCCGCATGCTCAATGTATGCCAAATCATTCGCATTGGCTACCTGGTCTCATTCGTTGTGATGTGTGCAATGCCGGGAATCTTTTTACTCTATGATGGCAGACATGTAACGATTATGCAGTACGAGATACCCGGCCTACCAATAGATACCAACTTGGGATACATACTCACCTATGTGCAACATTTGATTTCGACCGCCCTGGGTGGTCTTTTCTTTTATATGGGTGATTTGATGGTGTTACTCTCGCTAATGCAGATTCTCCCATTTGCGCACATTTTTCAGCTAAAAGCAGCCGCCCTCAATGATGCACTGCATCATAAAGAGCAGTCAAGATATCTAGCTACTGTGGGAGTCTTTGTAGATACTGATGTAGATGTACTGTTGTTGGATCTAATCAACTGGCATCAGTTGTTCACCGAGTATATTGAGATGTATTTTTTTATAGCCAAGCTTTATTAAAGTTAATCCTTTCAGCTATTGTCAGATTGTGGAGCATACCTTTGATTTTATGATCGCTGCTCAGGTGCTCTCCTCGGCCATCTCAATTTTGGTTTGCTTTTGCGTAAATCTCAGCGGATTTCATTCGGTATCCACCATCTATCTATTGGTCAGCGCCTACTCCATGCTGGTCTACTGTATTGTGGGCACCCAGGTTGAATACGCTGTCAGTAATGAACCAAGTAAACTATATTGAATGGTATTTCAATTTATTCTCTTCACTTTCCTCGCCGGCAGTACGATGACGTGTATGAGATTAGCTGCAACATTAGTTGGTATGAGCTAAGCTGCGCCCAGCGAAAATTGTTTCTGCTGTTGTTGAAGAAGGCGCAAAATATGCCAACTATCGTTATGCTTGGCATTCTGCCACTAAGTGTGCGTACAGCGCTGCAGGCAAGTTTTACAGGGTATACTAGAGTCTAAATGCCAGCATAATTAATGCATTTCCTTTGCAGATCAGCAAACTCATTTACAGCATTTCAATGATGGTGATGAAAAATCGCAACTAAAAGGAAAACTTATTAACTTCAAATAAGTTTGCTTCACAATCAAATAAATTAAAGTAGTTGCACTCAAGCCTTGTATTCATTTTTTTACAATCTGGTCTAAGACGAAAAAAGTAGCTGATTTGCGAAAAACAAACGAATCTGGTTACAGGTACAGGGTATGCAAAGGATGAACACACTCAACATGTTTTATATCTAAAGTCTCATTAGGACTCGGCATAGAGGAGTCGAGTCTGAGTCGAATTAGGACTTCAGTCTTCCATTGCAATCGTGCAAAGCTCTCGGAAGCATTTAAGTGCACTTGAGTGGATTTTAATGGACTCCAACATTGCATCGGAGTGTCTTGTCTCTCTAATCAAGGCTTTTGTATGTGTCGCCAGCTTTTATACATTTTGTGCGTAAGAACACTTAAAAGTAGCTTCTTTTCCTCTTCCTTATCTCATCCTCCTGTACCAGAAAAATATATAGACTCCTGTATTGTCGTTATCTAGGGGGGGGACGTCTTAATGAGCTTTGACTGTGCAATCGTGTTGCGTTTCTCTACCAGCCATTTGCTTTTCGAACCAAATGTCATTTACAATTAGAAGAATGGCAACAGACTTAAATTGTCAAATGTATTTTGTAAAGTTCCTCTTCAATTGCAGCACTTATGGGATTTAATGCTAGTCATGTAAAACAGAAAATCACATTTTAGATAAAGATAGAAGAGACTGAATTGAATTTATTTATTTTTCGACAACAGAAAGAAAAGCAAATAAAAAAATAATTTATTCAAATCGTTTACGATAAGGTATAATTATAATATTTCAACACATTTCGCGGCAGACTGTTCATTGATACAAAATTTTTTAAATCAATTTCACAATTTGTGATTAATTTAAGTTCACTTTAAGATCTTAAGCACTTTAAGATTGTTGTCCAAGCTCGGACACTTGGCTTTAGATAATCAACGCATGAGAGCAACATTATCATTTGAAGCATCATTGGCTAGACCAGAACATGAACTCAATTCCCCGAACTTGTCTCAACTGGTAATTACACACTAAGTACACACACCATTTGCTGCGTCATGTTTGAAGCGCTGATGCGTGGAGCTGGACTAGCAAGGCAGGGCAAGGCAGCAATAACGAGCCCTAGAGAGAGAATTGGAGCTTGCTTCTGGTTTTATTATGCGATGCTTATTGAGTTCTTATGCAAATAAACAGCGGTAACAAAAACAACTCCAGCAACAACAACCACAACAACAACGGGAATATTGTATGCTCAAGCACAAACAAGAGCAAAGTTCCAATAACAGCAAAACACACAAGTTAAACCACAGGAAGGAGGATGGGAACTTGGTCGGGTGGGCTGGCCTCAAGGGTGGAAGAAATGTTATAACTTGTAAATAGGCCAGGATTTCTTGTTGGAAATACGCCATTCAATAGCAACGAGTACGACCCACTCAATGGCAGGCGCCGCACTCCTATGGCCTACTTTATTAATATTTATACAAAGCGAGTTTTTCCACTTTCTATTCTACACATTTCCAGCTGCTTTCTCGTCGAGCCTTTGAATTTTTAATATGGGAATAACAAAAAGCAATGGTTTTGACTTTACAACAACTAGTGTGAGTTGATGTCCGCCATTCCCCTCCCGCTGTAAATGAACTATAAATATGAAAAACGGGCAATATGAGCGTTGAGTGTCTGTGTTTCTGTTGTTTGCTCTGATTACGCATTGCTGATTTTGCATTTGCCAAATGAGAATAATTTCAGCATCAACGAGGATGGCCCAAATCGGGAGAGGGCGACAGAAATATATCCTGTACAGCAGTAGCGATAGATACACAATATACGTATGATTTAAATATTGTGAGATTGAATGCTGATTGTTATTACTATTTTAGAATGCTTAATAGCTCAGACATTTGATTTAATGAGTTGGAAGCTCATCAACTTGAAATAGATATTAATTATTGTTTATTCTGCATTTTATATATTTGCAGGCGACCCAAGCGTGGAGTGGAAAATCTCAACTGTCATTATTAAATGCAAATATATCAAAAGATTTTAGGTAAGTCAACAAAAAGACTAAGATCCTTAAGCTTTTAACCAAATATTTCAAGTTGGCTGCATTTCCATTTTCTCTCTCATCCTCAACCGTTCCATAAATTCAAATTGTAATTAAATCCGCTTCAAAGTAAGTCGACATTGTATAAACGAACTTACAGCTAAAAACGCATTCATCTCTCTCTCTCTCTCTCTCTCTCTCTTTCTTTCTCCCTCTCAATATCTGTTGCTCTTGTCAACTGTTTGATTTTTCGACCATGTTTGTCTGCACATGTCGCACAAATAAACAAGATGAAAACAGTCGGAGCAGAAAATTAATTGCCAAATTCTAAAGTGCCAAATGTTTTTCAATGTGACACGAATTCAATGAGAAGTCTCAGCTACTGACGAAATTCATATTATTTGTAAGTTGATTGAATTGACAGCTTAGACACGTTTTACACAAATATTTCTATTATTGTTTCATTTTCTGATTCGACAGTCTTATAACTCTGATCCCATGAAAAGCATCTCAGCGATTTAAATTATACATAGCGGAACTTTATTCTCAATTCAGATTGAAAGCTCACAATCAAAATCGATCTCTCGTAATACATTTTGTGTAAATATGTATGGAAAACTCTTGGAGAATATGTTATAGAGAAACTGAATATTAGTAGTCTTTTAAAACTAGTTGTTTGAATATATAACGGGAACTTTGAATGCGGATGTTTAACTAATTGAACCTCTAACTAACTTGCATGGTGCAGAAAACTAATATGCTTCACGGTACACAGTCAGGGCCAACACGAGACGAGACTACTCTTGCCCTCTTCCAAATGAAGTTAGAGTTGATTTTATTAGTTCAACGTGGCAAGACACTGACGCATCAATGTTGTTACTGTCGGCCAGTTTGTAAAGCCACAGAACCTCTAGCAACAACTTCTCGTTGCTGTAGTAGAGTAATGGCTGTTGTTATTATTGTTGCTGTTGTTATTGCATTTGTTGTACATCTTTGTTTACTTTCTGCTCATGTATCGCCCTGCACTCTGCCCGGCCAGCTGCTCTTCGACAACGTTGTTGTCCTCGGCAAGGAATTTAATTTACCCGCCGCATAAAACAGGATGGCAGGATGGCAGGATGGCAGGATAGCAACTTGGTCGACATGATACACACGCCTCTGCAATTTTGTTTGCACCGAAAAATTTGTTTGCACTTTGCTTTAAAAGCGCCAAGCAGAAAATGTTCACAATTAATTTGTCATTTCGCAGTGCAAATATTTAACCTACCCTCCAACTATGGACAATGCGGATACCTGGATTCCGCAATTCTTGGAACAATGTACGAAATAAAGTTTGCACCCGGCTCTGACCAAACCCTAACTAAATTTATGTTTGCTTGACTCAGCTTTTTCATTGAAAATTGCATATATAGTTATATCCTGAGAGCAACGTTAAATATTAACAAAAGTTGAAAGCTTGCATATGCTGCATATGCGCCACTCTAATCCTTGACTTTTACCATATTTGCCAAGGATTTACACACACACCCATACACACATGTAATGCTTTCTCTACTTGTGTGCATAGAGTTGAGCGTAAAAAGACGGTCCACAAATGCATTTATTCATGAGAAGTTTTTGTTAAAATTGCAGCTGGCAAAATGAAGAACGTCACTGCAAAAGATCCAGCGATTTGCCAAGAGACATGCCAAATCCAACAGTACCTTGTCTTAATTGTAATACAGTGCAGTCAAGCCGAAAGACAAGGTAAGGCCTAGACAACAATTCAAATGAATTACCACTACAGCAAAAATACAATTTTATTATAGCCTTAAGTTGCTTCTTCAACAATCTAAACCAAATAAATGAAACTTGTACTGTAAGTCAATACATCAGAAAAAATTGTACACATATCAAATGGCTGTATTTTAAAATGAAATGGAAAATACCTTTGATCTGTCTTCATCATTGAAATTCAAATGTAAATATGGCAGAAATTAAAAGCGAATCGCAAAAATTGATTTCATAATTTACATTGTATGTTATTTATTTATTTGTTAGCACAGATTTTCTGTAGTATTCTTAAAACGCTCTACAAAATTGAGAGTTAAGGTAAATTTGTTTATGTACGTGTACATTTTTTAGATGTAAGCCAAACAAAGATGAAACAGAAAAAACTGGAAGATTTATCAAATTTGTAGCTTTTGGAGAATATCTGCAGAGGCAAGTGATGAGGGTGAGACCAGGCCGGTGGCACAAGGGATACACATGCTCATGTATATTGTACAATAAATATGTGTTGCACATTAAACCAAGCCAGGGGACAGCTATAAGCCGGCCAGGTCAGGACTTGGGGTCAGCAGGCAGCTGGAACTGCTGTCAAAGATCTTTGGCGTCTGTGGTAAAAAGCCGAGCAGGATAAGACAAGACAAGACAAGAAACAAAACAAACAGGCTAATAAGCCCTGTCTGAGTGCCGGTCAAGCTGACAATCGTCTTCGATATACCCGCCTACACACACACACACACAAGATACAAAAAGTGCTACATTTTTTGGCATATGCCGTATTTACATATTTGCATATAAAGCTTTTGACTTTTGCTAGAGGATAAAAGAAAAATAAATGCCAAATAAAATAAATTTCACAAGTGTTTGTGTGGTTGTGCGTATGTGTAAGGCAAATATGGTAACAGAATATACATGAGCCACATCCGGGACAGTCAGACAAAAGCCGCATGCAAACAACAAAAGACCAACCAACCAACCGACCAGCTGAGCCACAGACTCCGGCCTGAGGCAGCCAGGCAAGTTTCGTCTCCATAGGCATTTGATTATTCTAATATTTTGCAGCCAAGTTGGGCAGTTGACAGCTACACGAAGCAGCGCTGAATGTACATCTGAACCTGAATCTGAGACTCTACTCCGGGTACAAGCACTGGCTACGTGACTATGACACGACCAATTAGTGTTGCATACTCAGTGTCGCCTACAGTGCCTTGTTAGAAGCAAGAACACACACACACACAC